TAGGATCTAATCTCCTCATATCCAGCAACTTTTATGACCTAGAAATGTCTGAGTGGATGTGATCAGACTATCTGTGTCCTGGTTATTATTTGGAAAATTGGGAACCTGTTGGATTCCCATCCCCAGAATTCAGAAGTACCCTTAATATCACTAAAAGTTGGTTACCCCAACATATGCACAGAGACGAAAGGTGTAAACTGTACCCAGCTTCCAGCATGTTCCCCCATGAGGCCAAGGGAATGGACACAATGGTGAGCAGCCAATAGAGCTCTTCTGTTCTTCCCAGGAACTCTGACTTTCCCTCTCAGTAGCTCAGCCAGCTTGTCTCCACATTCTAGTTGTTACTTTTCAACTCTCCACAGGTACTAATTATTTTCATTTATGATCATGATGAAGTGGTGAATCAAGTTCCTTTTTTTTTTTCTTTCTCAACATTTTGTAAGAAGTGGGTCAAGATGGAAAATGTTGGAAGTTCTAGAATTCTGATTTTTATTTTATCCAGCAGTATATCAGGCACTTGCCTGTGAAAACATCACGGGGAGTGCCTGGGTGGCTCAGTCGGTTGAGCATCCAATTCTTGATTTTGGCTCAGGTCATGATCTCAGGGTTGTGAAATCAAGCCCCGCTTAAGGCTCCATACTCAGTGAGTGAAGTCTTCTTTGGATTCTCTCTCTCCGTCTCTCTCTGCCCCTCCCCCATTCATGCCCTCTCTCCATCTCTCTCTAAAATAGATAAATAAAATCTTTAAAAAAAGAGAGAGAAAGAAAACTTATATCACTGACAGGTTTCCCTTGAGGCTTTCTGAGATTCCTGCCCCTTTGCTTGGCTTTGCTATCCTACATGGCTGGCATTCTGAGGTTGATACAAAGCCCCATCTACATAACAGCAATAGACGGGGAGGTAGTGTGAGTGAGCACGCGTTTATCCTCACGCATTCCTCTCTGATCATCTTCCCTTCAAAAGACAGTTGGATAAGAAGTTTCTAGATATGATTTAACAGAACCAAATATTTGGATTTTTTTAAATGAATACTAAAATTCTTACTCAATATGGTACCACAAGCCAAGATGACAGAAGGTGATGTGTATGATGACAACTCATGATGGAGACAAGTGAATGAAATTCCTTTTCACAAAAGAACATTCAAAATATGATCCATGTGCACTATCTAGAAACATCCTCATTAATTAAGGAGTGAAACTATATTTTTAACATAGTTACAGATCCATGCAGACGTTTAATCTCCAAAAATTTCAGTTGACTACACAGATGGATTTATAACAACCTCTAATGGGTGTAACTTAAGATGGAACAGATGATTCTACCAACGGATTAATCAACCTCTTCCAAACTGCAAATTAAAAAAGAAACAAATCAAACACTGCATTTTCCTTGCAGATGTTAAGCAAAACATATTCAGTCTTACTCCTATAATTACAGCATTAGGAGAGATTTACCAACATCAAAGTAAATAAAAACATACCAAATGAAAGCTGATGAAAAACTAACAAGAGAATGAATAATAATCTTTTTAAAATCTCACGGCCATAGACTCTCTTATTGATTTCAATCATATACTCCTTCCTTTCAAATGGAGAGACCTGAAGTTCAAATAACTATACAGCTCTGGTGGAGACCTTGGATATGGTCTAACTGCACAGTATCTGACTAAATTCATCTCCAGCATCTGCAGTTCATTTTTTTTAATCAAATGTTTTTGTTGTTGTCATTGTTGTTTTGGCCAACTTTCATTTGAGCATTTTTAGCACCAGGAAGAAAAAAAAAAAGACACATCAGTAGGGATGCCCCGAATCCAGGATATTCAAAACAAATGTTATAAATTGGCCTTCACAAGTGTACTGGGTTCAAATAGCGAGTTTTCACAAGTGATTTCCTATCAGTGACACTCCTACAGGACTTCTTGGAAACAAATGAGGGTCAGAGAGGACTACTCTCCCAACAGATTTATTAGCCAATGTCCCACTCCTTCATCTCCTGTAAGACTGCACGGCAAGAAGTCAGTCGTGATAGTTCTGCCCACAAACTGACAGAGGCTGGACATCCCTGGGGCTCAGTCTCCAAACAGCAGCCAATCAGCATGCCTTCACAGCCCTGCTCAAGACTCTCAGTAGGATGGAATGATAGAGTGGCGGTAAATCAAAGCTATAACTACTTCAGCTCCCGCCAGTCTGTCTCCACTCAAAGTGTCCATTTAGCCGGGAAGCACAGCAAAATTTATAGCCAGGAGTTTTATAGTGTGGTGCTTTAACACTGCGAGGAACCCTATACTCATGCCTGAAACCCTTGAAGAAGGACAGACCCTCAATTTGTTTTAACCTATAGGCAAGTTCTGCCTAGGCTGCAGTAGGTCTGAAATTAATCAGTTTGACATTCACAAATCTCTTTAACTATTACTTTGCATTTTACTTCTGAAGATGCCACATGTTAAAAAAATGATTGTTGTTAGCAACAATTCCATTTTTTATTCATTTCCTTTTTGCACAACGTATCTGTCAAGAATTTCAGATGATGAATGTTGTATGGGAAACACTTTTAGAATGTCAACATGGAATGTTTCTCTCTCTCTCCCTCTTTAATTTTCAGAGTGTTTTGTTGATGAGGTTGACGAGGAGATCCATGAAAAAACTCTGTGTTCTCTTTATTCATACTCTCTGGAGTCTTGCCTTGGCACACTATAAAAAAATGGCAAGTGCTCCCCCAAACCCCAAACCCCCATAATATCATAACCCACTTCCCTGCTATATTTTTTCACCCTAGCAATTAGCACGATTTGACACACTATATATAATACACAGGATATACATATTCCACTCATTTATTTTGCTATGGTCTGTCTTACTCAGTGGAATGTCAGCTGTATGAAGACTGGGATTTTTGTGTGTTTTGTTTACTGCTGTATCTTTGGCACTGAAAACAGGACCCAGCATTAGTAGGTGCTCAGGAAACACTTGCTGAATGACTACCTTGCCATCATCATAAGTTATTGATGTCAGGCAATGATTACTCTATTTCATCTCTTTACTCTTAACAGGCTTCCATCCCGGACTCCCGGGGCCCTTTCCTAGAGCATCAAACACAGCCTAGACCTTTGTTCATCATCCCCGCCCCCATCCCATCCATAAATCTTACCTAATCTAGTGCTGCTAGCTAATCTGATAAACTAAACCTACAGAATAATAGCAGTTGAATGTGTTAACCAGTCACATATAATAAACAATCATTTTGTGATTTAAAACCTAAACTTCAGGCTGTGACTGTTATAGCTAATCAAATCCCAAGTGCCCTACCCCTGTCCTTACCCTATCTGCACCATTAAAACAATGGGGGGAGACAGGAAGGGGGAATCAATCAGAGGCTTCCAGTTCAGTCTGCAAGTGTTGCCAAGCTGACAGTAGGGCCAGTTATACATAGGGCATGGGCGGAGGGTGGTATTGCATTACCCAGGGGTCGGTACACTTTTCCTATAAAGGACCATAAAGTAACTTTGCTTTGAGGGATCTACTCCCTTCTGCTATTGTAGTGTGAGCATAGCCGTACACAACAGAATCCTGGCTGTGTTCCAGTAACACGTTAGTCACAAAAACAGGCAGTGGGTCGGGTCTCATCCGTGGGCCATAGTTTGCTGACCTCCACTCTAGAGCCAGGGGAAATGTGAAACAATCCCACACCCTTCTGTCTAGGCTCTTCCAAATGAATATGGTTCTGTTGCTTGATCAATGCATTTAAATGTATCCAGTAATCAAATGTATCTGCATATCTAATGGTTATTTTTCTAAAATAACTGCTTGAAAATTGTCATTCCTTCTCTTTGTATGTGTTCACCCACCCACTGCCTGGCGCCTCCCCCATCTCCCACCCCACCCCCGCCCCCATGGCAGCCCTGGAGGTGCTCTGCTCTGACCTCGGTTCAGGAGCTACTGCGCTTCAGTAAGTGCTGTTAGGTGACAGCCTCCAGGGACAGTGCCTTCAGGATCTGCTAGCCTCACTCTGAGACCATGGTCTTCCTGGGCAGCCTCAGCCAATGACTGAGCACTGAGGGGCCTAGGACCTGGTCACCTCCCACCCCCACAAGAGAACCCCTCTCACAGGCACTTCTGCTCTAGAGAGCCCCAATCCCGCTTTCTCCTCCCTTTCCTTCTCCAAGCATCAGGGCCGCAGCACCATCCTGAGGTTTTTCCTGCCCAAGCCTGTTCCTTCTCCCTTTATCTTTCACAGACCTTACCCCCCAGCCCCCAAATCAAACCACGATACTCCCAATTCCTCCCCCGTGTGCCTCCCATCCGCACCACACACCGCCCCCCATCATATTGAACTTGAGATCTTCTACACATTCCTGTTACAAACCAAACCCCAATGTGGGTCAACAAATCTTGTGGTAGAAATGACAAAAGGAAATGTTTCCTGTTTTTTTCTCAGGGATGCCTTGATATGGTTTTAAATATTTACTCTTCCCAAACAGTTCTCAAATTATCATTAGGAAATCAGAGGAGTGACTGTAGCACCTGCTCGGATCATTTCATGCGTGCAGAGGGTCAGGGCCATGTTGAGAGGCAGCATTCCTGGATACAGGACATGCCCAAGCAGCAGCTTCTGGCAAGAGACCCTGAGCGTCAGTGCTTGACTGAGACCCACAACGAGGACTGCCCAGGGCCTGGGAGAGGTGGGATACATAGGACCCAAACCGACTTAGATGAGAGACACCAATTATAAGGAAATTCAGCTACGACCACTTTGGAGACCATCTGGAAGCACAGGTGTCTGAGCACTAGCTGCCTTGGATCCCCAACCCCAAAGGTTTTCAGTCCCCCAGGAAAAGCCAAGTCTCCCTCCTCTGCACCCTGCAGGCTGAGTGCCTTTCCTTAGAGGGGAGGTGCTCTACTCAGCCTCCAGAAGGGCCACAGAAAAGCCCATAGTGCACGTAGTGACTCTGGCAGCTGGTCCCAGGGAATGATATTTAGCATATATTTACCTTCTTACAGTATGGTTGACTGTATGAAAACATGAGGAAATAGGACTAAGGACAGAAGAAAGAGGGGGAGCAGGAGGAGGAGAAAGAGATGAGAAGGAAACAAAGTCAGATACAAAACCAGTTAAAAGGTAAGACTTCTGCACTGGGGAGGGTATGTGCTCTGGTAAGCGCTGTGAATTGTGCAAGACTGTTGAATCTCAGATCTGTACCTCTGAAACAAATAATGCAATATATGTTAAGAAAAAAAAAAAAGAAGAAGGTAGCAGGAGGGGAAGAATGAAGGGGGGGAATCGGAGGGGTAGATGAACCATGAGAGACGATGGACTCTGAAAAACAAACTGAGGGTTCTAGAGGGGAGGGGGTGGGAGGATGGGTTAGCCTGGTGATGAGTATTGAGGAGGGCACGTTCTGCATGGAGCACTGGGTGTTATGCACAAACAATGAATCATGGAACACTACATCTAAAACTAATGATGTAATGTATGGGGATTAACATAACAATAAAAAATTTTTAAAAAAAAGAAATAAAGGAGACAGTGAGCAGCAAAAAAAAAAAAAAAAAAAGGTAAGACTTCTGTTCAAGGCACCTATAATGAATTAATCATTGCCGTTGATCATTACCTTCTGTTGGCTCCGGACCACCTGAGGCTTCGAAGAAAGCCAACAGTTCTTCTGATAAGACAGACTTTTTGTGGGCCCACAGCTCTGGGAATCCATGCATGAGAAATACAGCCACGTCATTTAATCAGCCTGGGACTCTGTCTCCTTATCTCAATAGAAGTAGGGCTTATATTCCTTGAACACTCTGGTCCCCATCACAGCTACCATTCTGTGATGAGGTAGGACCCAGAAAAGCAAGCCAGTCCCCCAGGGTTTACCGACTCCCTCTACCACCTTGCATTCCTTATAAACCTAGGGGGGAGGCGAGTTTAGGGGCCAAGCCTGGAAATGGAACGTCTTCTTTCTTCCCACATACTACAAACTGAATGAGAGAGAGGCAGATTAGGGAAGGTAGAAAGGAAGGGATGGACTCGAGGAGGGTGGGTTATCTCCAGGGAATTTGTTCCTGGATGGTCAGGCGGACAGTGGCAACCTTCCCTCACTGTGTCAGAGGGTTCAGGAAGAAGAATACGTTGCAGACACAAGGGGATAGGGTCAACACTGGCTCTGTTGAGACTGAGCTACATGGAGGGCATATCAGCAGAGGTTACAGGTAGATTTCTGGAGGCACTCTTTTTTCAAACAGGGAAATTTATGCCCCGGGAGGTTAGGTGAACCAGTCAGGGAGGAGTCAAGGCCCAGATGTGCTAATTCCTAGTCCAGTGCTCTTTCCACTACACCTCTGCCTTCGAGCTTTGTAGTAACAACAAGGGAGGGTCTCTCCCCCTCACCTGCTAGGAAATTGCTCATTAGTTTGTGTGGTTATTTATTTAAAGGTGTGGAGAGGATAAGCCTCTAGAAACTTCATGAGAAAGTCAAAAATCATTTTAGATTATAGGCACTTACACTAATTAATGTAGACTAACATTCAATAATTTGATAGATGGATTTGTTCCATTTTTAGTTCAAAGTATACAGAGCTAATTTACTCAGAAACTGCTCGGTTCCAATTTCTCAACATCTGAGTTTATCAAAAATATCCTCAGTGTGAGTCACATGCCAATTTCAAGAAGGCGTGGTAATAAAAAATGTTGTTAGAGCTTTTCCCCAATATCCTCCCTTTCCATGTCCCTAATTCAATTCCAAGTGTAAAACACATGCAGCGAGAAGCCCTCGTCCCAGAGAGAGGTCCCCACTTCTCAGGAAAGGACGTTGAGGGTGCCATCGGGCTTCACTTCATAGGAATTCATTGATCCTCAGATTTTCCTCATGGTAAAGTCAGAGACATCAAATGTCGTAAGAAAAGTCACATTTTCCAATGTTGTCCCAGGATGTCTCACACAGTAACCAGTAAACCTCTAAAACGGATTTCTCTCTGAACTCTTCAAAGAGCTCTGCCCGATGTATGAACTTTTAAAGTAGCCGCATAAGAGCTAAAGGCATCATCAAAGTGTGCTTTTTTTTTTTTTCCAGTCCACATTTGCCAGGTTAAATAACAGCTGAAGCTGGAAGAGGTACACTTGCAAGGATTTCTCAACCTGCCTTGCAAAAGGCTAGATTTTCAGTTCATCTGCCCTGTCCTTGTTTTGTTTGTTCATCGTTTAAGTGTTCTTTCTGGGGAACTCTCTGGTGAAATAGAAGCATTTTGACCTTCAACAAGGATTAAAAACTTGAGGGAAAAATGAAACTTCTCCAGTCCTTCACTGAGAAGAGCTTGAAGAAGCTGCTAGAGGAGTTCACACTCAGAGTAAAAAGTTATTAGCAAATACTGAACATAATTTGCTGTATGTGAACCTCAGTAAAAAAAAAGACAGCCTACTATTTACACAGCTCCTTCCAGTCCATGAACTCCAAACACGACCTCCCTCTTGCAGCAGGCAACCTCGGATTCACTGACTCATCCTGGCCGAGTCACGCTCTGTTGGCTTCCTCTGCGACATCCCCAAGCGAGTCCTGTCTTCTTTCCACTTCTGACATTCCTGTTGGGATGCGGTCATCCCTCACCCACTGCCTTCTCCTTTTTTTGTCCGAGGTTCACAGAGATGGCCAGCAGGTTGCGAGTTCACTCTGGCGGAACTGAAATTCAGTAAATTGCTTTGCAAGTGCTCTAGAGACCGTGTCTACACCTTCTATAGAGAATCCACTGAGTTCTCTCCAAGCTCCCTTTAAGGTCATTTCCCTTCAGTGTGACCAGTCGAAATCCCTACAGTCTGCATCGTGTCCCACTTGCCTTTTTTCTCCTATGTGAGACGGAAAGCAGCTGGTGCCCAATTTCATATATTCTCCCTTTGCACATTAGTCAATAGAAATAAATTCTGAATCCTTCAATTTCCCTTGCCAAGCTAAAAAACTTGGGTGTCTTTAATCCTTTTCCATAGTCTTACTTGGTGCCATTTCCTAGCTTTGCTTTCCTTCCTCACTGGAATCGTGGAGCAGCCAACTGAATACAGTCTTGTCTGGAGGGTCTTACCGATATTGATATGGTAGAGATACCCTCCTGACTGCTTCATATATTTCTGGTCCAGCCTTGGACTGGCCTTTTGAAAACCACTTTTGGTTTTCTGACTGCTTAACTTTGATACCCAGTTCCTTTAACATATACAAAACCAACATTGCCTTTGTGGAGTTGATTTTCTCCTTGCTCTGTAGCCCTCCCACAACCTGCCCCCATTCAATTGGCTTCTTCCCAACAATCTGGCAAATTGGTTTTGAGATCTAATGCTACCTTTCCCCGTGGCTTTTCCCTCCTGGGAGGAAATGAGTCTGGCTATGGGGAAACTCTGCCCATAAAGTCCTCAGAATTGTCAGGCTTTTCTTTGTGTCATCGGTATCCATTAGTTCCCAATATTGTCTGCTTTCCCACACTTTGCTCAAGGGAATTTAGAGAAATATAGAAAACTTTAAAATAAAGACCAGGTTCTCAAACCTTAGGTATGGACATCTTTTAAGGGAAAATAATTCTTTTTTTTTTTTTAAAGATTTTATTGATTTATTTGACATAGAGAGACACAGCGAGAGAGGGAACACAAGCAGGGGGAGTGGGAGAGGGAGAAGCAGGCTTCCCGCTGAGCAGGGAGCCCAATGCGGGGCTCGATCCCAGGACCCTGGGATCATGACCTGAGCCGAAGGCAGATGCTTAACGAACGACTGAGCCACCCAGGCGCCCCAAGGGAAAACAATGCTTAAGATAAATCTGTTAACCTCAATTATTTAACTGAAATGTTACTTAAATATCTACATGCCTAAATTCAGGTATAAACTCCTTATATCCATAGCTTTTTTTTTTTTTAAAGATTATTTATTTATTTATTAGAGAGTGAGCAGGAGAGAAACAGCATGAGAGGGGAGAGGGTCAGAGGGAGAAGCAGGCTCCCCGCTGAGCCAGGAGCCCTATGTAGGACTCGATCCCAGGACCCTGGGATCATGACCTGAGCTGAAGGCAGTCGCTTAACCAACTGAGCCATCCAGGCGCCCATATCCATAGCTTTTAAACAACTATCAAATCAAAATAAAATTTTGAATTCAGCATAAATAAAAAATGCATAAAATTAAAATAAAGTACTTTAATGTAGGCAATGAGTTTGCATTGTTGGAATGAAATCCTCTTGCTCAGTGTGAAAAGGGTACCAATTGCCATGGCAAAGATTCTTTTAAGTTTCCTACACCTATAGTATTATTTGTGATGTCAGGATTCCATTTGTCCAACATATTTTTCCATCCTGATTTCTACAAAGCCTTGTTTCTTCAGAATGTTGTGATGTCTTTTGACCTTCACTTGGCCAGAACCCATCAATTAGGGGTTCAACTTACCTCTCTTCTTCTCTGCCAGCTCTCTGGGTTACAGTGCTGCAATATGTCATTTCTATACTGTCCCATCAAATTATCAATGCATTAATTCACTTAAGAAATTAAAGTCTTACTTTATGAAAATGTCCTTTAGTTGTAAATTATTGACATAAAAATGAAGCTTTGTCATTAAACGAAATGAAATAATTCAACACGAATTCAGTGTTAGACACAGGACATTGTTTATCAATTTGAAAGTAAAACAAACCATAAAGCTAAAGAAGTTTTCCAACATTGTAAAAGTTCCTTGAAATCCCTTTAGAGATCAAAAAGCCACCTGAGATATACATTTGCAAATACAAAACTAAGTGGCTGAAATCTACAGACATAGAGTCATCATGCAAAGAAACAAAAATGTGCTGCTTTTTTTTGCCATTAAAATGAAAATATAAAATTTAAAGTTTTTCCTTAGGAATTCACAACCCAGGAGAGTATGACCAGAGACTTCAGAATAGAGAAACTTAGTTTGAAAAACAATGAAGATGTTGGAGGAGAAAGGAGCCTACCTATGGATATGGGCGCCTGGATGGCTCAGTTGGTTAAGCGACTGCCTTCAGCTCAGGTCATGATCCCAGGGTCCTGGGATCGAGTCCCACATTGGGCTCCTGGCTCAGCGGGGAGCCTGCTTCTCCCTCTGACCCTCTCCCCTCTCATGCTGTTTCTCTCCTGCTCACTCTCTAAT